ACTTTCGCGGATTATTGTTTTCCTTTCGCGGACCCATCGCGGATCTTTCGCGGACACTCTATTTCACATGTTATTAAAACCGTTTTATATAATCCCCACACAAGGACCTTTAGATCAATGCTCATATATATATATGTATACACATGATCTTGAGTTCCCTGGGGACTGGTTCCTTCTGTCTAGTTCTTATAGATCGAAGTATAAACCTAGGGAGCGCCCACTGACAATCGCTTCGCGCAAGCCGCCATTGAGCTCGCGGTTCCCGCGACAATATCTGCTAATGCAAAGTGGAATAAATAATGGCAAAGGGGCTCACGTTTCATAACGAGCCGGATGGTATCAAACGTTGGGCTTAGGACTTGGGCAGGTGGGCAGGCCTTTGCAATCTCTTCGTCCCCAAATTTCGGACAGTTGCGAGTCGTGTCGAACAACTCAATAGTCTTATTCTGGGATTCCGGAGGCTGGATTCCGTCCTGCGCCGGCGATTGCGGCCGAAGGTACGTCGAGGCATCGTCGATCAGTGCCTGACAGTCTGTGTAATTGAACATGCAATCGTGCCGGGCAAGCAAACAACCGGATGAAAGTGACAGCCTGCAGCTAGCTCAGCCAAAAGCTTCTATCACAGTCACAGCAAGCTTGCGTGGCTGGACATACTGAAGTTGCAGATTGGAGCAACCTGGCATGTCAGCAAACACGGAGACGTACGGCTTGATGTGGCTCTGGAACTGCTTTGGTTAGGGTGCCACCAGTTGTTCGGAGGCCCTTGCAGAAGTGCATAGAACGAAGCAGGGCTTGCGAAACTTGCTTCTCCGGCTGCGAGGCTCTGCGAGAAGATTTCACGCATAATGCCGCATGGGTCAGGCGGACAGAGCGGGCATCGAGCTTACTCATACTGGACCTAGATGGCCAAATATATATATATATACATGTATATATATATACACACAAACAATATTGTAAGGTTCTGAAGCAGCCTTGGATTGGAATGTATCGAAAGATTTGAAAAAGAATATATATATATATATATCTATCAGTTATTGTTTCATAGTATCTTATATCTGTGTATATATATATATGTACATATGTACCGACCCTGCTTCCAACCATTCCACAGCAACACAGTCAGGTTCGCAGGAGCCGAGGGGCCTTGCCAACGATCTTTCGCAACTGCCCACGTGGAGGGAGGCGCACGGCAGGCAGGCTGAGGCTGCCTTCGCAACCGGGGGGAGCCGCCTTTAATTTCTCGGATTCGCGATAGTGTAGTGAAGTTTAGGACTTTAGGATTTTTCTACAAAGCCTCTTACCGGTCTCACTGTGCTTCGCAATGGGACATGGCTTTACTTACAATCTTTACAGGCCCCTAGTTGTGGCTTCCCTGGTCCAGACAACCACTTAAGCTGTCAACTGTGGTACTACCTAATAGTCGGACTCTTTACAAGCCTGGGCTATTGATTGCCTCCGGAAGCAGAGACCTTCGCCAAGTGTATGGAGGGGTTGTACGAGAGTTGCTTGCCCCTGAACTTCGAACTAAATTGTCCTGAGCGCCGTTACGTCACTTGCCGTGGCTCCACTTTTCTGCAACTTTACAACTCGAAGAAAGCATGTATGACATATAATTGTAGGGATTCGGAGCGCAAAGGTCTCATACTGCAACCCGCCCAGAAGATCCTTGTCTCAACAACCGAGAGCCTGCTGTTTGCCCCGACTGCCCATGCCTTGCTGCCCGTCGCCCCTGACGAAGTGAAGCTGAAAGTCGCTACCTGACGGGGCATCAAGTGCTTACAACAAGCGCACGCGAAGCTATCTTCCTTTAAGCTTCTTTTCTGTTGCTGACCCTGTCTGCTTTTGTAGACCTTCTTCTATCAGCGCATGCTTGCGGTTGGAATCCTGTCTCATGTAATCTAATCGCTTCCCCTTTTACTAAATACCCCCTAGTAACAAAATCACATCGGGACGAATCCTCCCGAAATCATAACTGCCCTTTAAAACCTATTCTGAACTAGGGGGAGGGTTTCGAGGCTCCAAATACCCTTAGAGCACAACAAGAGCAACAGCAAGAGCAGGAGTTGGAGCAAGATCAAAAGCAGGAGCATCGGCAAGAGCAAAGCAAAAGCAAGAGCGGGAGCAAGAGCAAAAGCGGGAGCAGGCGCAAGAGACGACCCCTCAACAGTGGTACGAATAGTAGAGACACACATACAATCTAATAATGTAAAACAACTTTCCGAGCTTTATTGGGGGGGGGGGTCCCTCCGTTTACTATTAGGGCCCTAAACCCTAAACCCTAAACCGTTTATTAGGGGGATGGGATGACATCCTGACCCCTGCGGCCTTGCGAGTAAGCGCAATGTCTTTAAGGTCCTCCTGTGCTCTCTTCAGCTTCCGGTCTGAGGAATGGCGAGCCAGGGAGGTGGTGTGAATCCGGACTGACGTCTCTACATAATAAGAATAATTCATACTAGTAATAATAATAATAATAACACCCACTCTCCGAAACCCGGGTCCATGCAAATAAAACATCCCGACTGCGGCAATGATGCAGGAAAGGTCGCTGAGCCCCTGCACAATGGTTGCGGCCACGACAACCCTGTCCTGGACACGCGCTCGAACAGAGCAACAAAAACAAAAACTTGAGCTAGTCGGTGGAAATAGACGAATCTTCGAGGGGCAAGTCTGTCAGTTTGAAGCATCGGGACACCAAAGATCAATCCTTTCACTTCCTCGCAAGCCGACAGTCGTGCGTTCGCGCGCATCTGCGGCCACAGTAAACAAGGCATCCAAGTCTCACCACGGCAGCAAATGCCACGTGGGTGCCCGCCTGGCAACTCAGTCTCAGGGGCTTCATGCCCGGACGTGCCCTGTCTCTTTTCTGGCATGCCTCTAAGCCATATAGAACCGATTCCCCACTGTGACTTGCCAGGAGTCCGATCCGACAAAAGCAAGACCTCCCAGCATGCGATAGGACATGAAAGCGCAACACTCGATGATTTGCTTCCGAACTTTTGCAGGACATGTTATCCTGGTGAAGGCGTGTGTGTTGCCTAGTAGGCGCCTCCCGGCGACAGCTTGCAGCCTAAATGGGCCAATCGATGCACAAGACCCCGTCGGTTTCGACTACATGGGGCTCAACCTCTGATGGTGATGAATATCTGGTATAGCAGCATAGCTATTTCCAGGGACTATCTTCTTCGGCACTCGGCTCTGCGTGAGTAGGTCCCGAAGTCTGAATCCTGGCAACTGTTGGCTCCTGTCGCATTAACTGGTGTTGGACTCTCAAGGCTTATGAATCTGCAAGGCAACCCTAACCCCTAAACCCTACATGAGAGACAAGATCGGACTGGGCCATGTCATCAAGCACCCAAATAAGACAGCCCCAAATCAAGGGAATTTTCACGTGGGTAGTTCGTGGGTGGGTAGTGTGTTTTGCCGGCATATAGGCCGCAGGTACTGCTTACATACGGCTTCCAAGGTTTTTGTATAGACGGCTCCAGGAAGTCCTATGTAAGCACTAGAGGGGCTTGGCTCGTGCAGCCTATGTAAGCGTTCATGACAGGCTAAAGGCCACGAGGGAACAAGATCTGGTTTTGCCGCGTGCCAGCACATACCAGCAACAGTGGGGGTCATCGAAAATGCAAGCACCACTAAAACAAGGGCTGTGCAAGTGCCTTGCAAAGCCTATATCAGGGCTGTAAGGAGTATGTAAGGCCTTATGAGTGCCATGTAAGGCTCATTTAAGGGCTATGTAAGGGCCATGTAAGGATCATTGGCTATGTAAGGGCTATGTAAGGGCCATGTAAGGGCTTTGCGGGGTGCCCTTCCTGGTCTCTAGCATTGGTTGCAGGGCCCTCGAGTCGATGAATTCCAGTCCCCTAAACCCTAAACCCTGAACGCAAAAACCGTAAACCAAATCCGGGAGGAGCTCCCCACCAACCACCCCCACTCACCCCCGGCTCCACGCCACCCCACGCCATTGAGACCTTACTTGGGTTTGGCAAACCCCCAATCCCCCACTAAACCCTAAACTCCCCCTTCTTGAAGATCAACTGCCCCCGTGGCCTCTTCGTTCGGAAAGGGAGGCCGGAGCTACAGCTCCGAAGCCAAGGCCAGGGAACGAGACCTCTAGGGTTTAGGCATTAAGGGTTTTAGGGTTTAGGGTTTAGGGTTTTAGGGTTTAGGGTTTTAGGGTTTAGGCTTTCCCTTTTCTTGAAGGCTTGAAGGGATCTTCCCCGCTTCGGAGTTCAAGGTCTGGGTGTGATTCGGACAAGACGTCAATCGATATCCATCTATCTATCTATCTATCTATCTATCTATCTAATCTATCTAGTCCATCTAATCTAATCTATCTACCTATCTACCTACCTACCTACCTACCTACCTACCTATCTATCTACCTATCTATATATGTATATCTCTACTCAACATGTATAATAACCTATAACTACTTATCATATAGATATGCTTTCCAGCACAGATTTATGACGACGGCATAATTCGGGCTCTGATTTTTCAATGGCCAAATGAATTCCTTGACGACTCTACGTAACCGACGTCGCGGTGGACTGGAGAAGCCAAGTTCTATTTCTTCTATAGTCTTGCGATGGCTGCATCAATACATCTCAGCTAACATACATACATACGTACATACATACATACATACATACATACATACATACATACTCACATACGTACGTACATACATACAGACATACATACACACATAAAATGACCCATTTATCCGAAGGGCACGAATTAAGCCTCAGGGGAGTTCGCCCCTGAACCTTCGACACAACACCCAAAGCCCTGTCAGGATGCCTGCGTCAAGCGAGGAGCCATCGGTTTCCTTGTGGGTGAAGGTTTTGGAAAAGCAACTCGAAGTGCGATTGCTTGTCGGTTCCGTAGGTCTTGCGCGATAGGTGTCTTACGAATTACAAATCGACGAAGAGCCATCACCAAAAAACTTGTTCATGCCATGGACGCCGCGAGCCCGTTCGTTGTGGTTCCAGAAACGCTCAGACTGCAGGCGTCGAGTGGTTGGCCGCTGGGAGGGTCAAGCTTGCTTGCTCAGGTTTAAGATGCAATATGGCGTCTCGAATGTTTCAACAGCTTCTGTGGCTTTGACCCTTGAAGCCAAGTGGCATCGCCCGGCTCAGCTGTCGCACCACGATCCTGAGTGAAGCAAACAACAAGCCCTGTCAGAAACCCCTATGCGCAACAGCTCGAAGCTTCCCCAAACTTGAACCCAGTGCCGAAAACCCGCAGTCCACGGTCTCGAGCAAAGCAAATGAACTCAAAACCTGGACATGCGGCGCATCGACTGCTTCCGACCCTGCGGCAAACTCTGCCGATCCGCCAGAAGCCTCTGCCAATCCTGTTTGGGTCCATCGTGGCGGCATTTGGGTGTGTCGGCTTTGGATCTCCGGTTAGAAGGTGTCGCATGCAGACTTGTCACCGAGTGGGATCTGTTCCCTACACTCTACATGCCATATCACACCACTGCTGTCTCCATAAAGTAGATTTTGCAGATTTGGGGCATTGGTATGCAAACCACGAGAACAAATCTGAACCGTAGAGGCTTGTCTGGATCTTTGCACCCACACCTTTCAGCATGCGTACAAAGACTGCTCACTGCTCACTTGCGATGCTAAGCTCAGGCCCTCATGTCTAGCACGTGTTTCGGACACAAGGCATGCCTACAGATAGTGTTCAATTAGGGACTGCTTTGCATGCTAACTCAGGGCCTGAATGTGGAGCACGACCCATCAACAATATCACAGAATCACAGCGCAGAGCCGTGAAATGCAGCAACTTTTTGCGACGCTTATGCCGACAGACCGAGAAGGTGCTGGAGTCTACCTCCGAGAGGGGTTGCTGCAGGAGACAGCGTGCGGCAAACCTGATTTGCTTCTTTGGGTCCAAACGGGCTCTCTCAGCTCAACTCTGCCAACACTCAAGACAGCTCTCCCCAAAACAGAATATCAAACAATTGCCATGATCAGCACTGCTTCGTCATCCTCCTCCTCTGTCACTGTGGCTATCGGTGGGCTCGAGAGTTTCGTCCCCGAGTCCAGGTGTGGGCGAAGCAAACGACCGATTCGGATTGCGAGATCGTGACGCAAGGCTGACACCGACGTCAAAGAAGAAGTGGCATGGGTACTGCTTTCCTCAAGATGCTGCTTCTTGTGGCGGCGCACGACGCATGACTAACCGCCTACTCCGTACCGTATACCGCCCACAGGCGGAGATAAACCTCCATCCTAAATGCCCCAAACTCGGACTCAAACTCTCGAACCCTCTCAAACCCAAACCTGGAAGTGGTCATGTGGGCCGGACAAGTCTCGCGCTCCTGTCGAGAGGATACCTGCGAGGACGCGTCGTCGCGCAGCAAGCCAACATAGTTGGTGTCCGACCTTGCGGGTCCGGGCACAATGCTTTGCGGCCGGGGTATAGTGTTTAAGTTTAGGGTTTAGGAGTACAGGAGATCTGTGCTGTATGTGTGCTTTTGCGTGCATACAGGCACAGACAGAGAAAGAGACATCGAGAGGGAGCGAGAGAGAGAGTGCCAGAGAGCGATAGGGTGATTACATTTCACATGGAAATACGACGTGTCTACCTATTTAATTACCAGACAACCTACCTACGAGCGTCGGGTATATTTCACATCAATCAGCGAGAAAACACAACACCCGAATTGTTGCACATCTGTGGCGAGAATTCGCATCACTATACGTGAAGAAGGCAGCCGTTCGTAGTCTCCAAGTCGGACGAGCTCAATTTTCCGGATGTGTCGCGAACAGTGGGGAAGCGCTCTTCGTCATTGCCATCTCGAATACATTTTGGCACCGAATTCTCCAACTAGCCGCTGCTGTTTAACTGTTTCTTGTCGCGTGAATCGAAACCCTGCGTGTCGATAAGTACTCGAGATCCATATGCCGAGTTTTGATGTTCGCGGTACAACCGGGGTGCACCTATGGAGCACTGATCTTGGGGGCTACATTCATGATTCGAAACCGTCTTGTGGGCTATACACTCGAGATCGAAGCGCCAAGCGTTGATCGTTCGGGGCTACACCCGCGATTTGGGGGGGCTCTACCGCACGTGCGATTGACATGCTTTGCCTTGCAAGCCGCAGGTGCACGTCTCCAGCGCCAAACAAGCTGACCGAGACGAGATGATGTCTGAAGTCAGTCAATAAAGGACTTTAGACTCAAGTGTGTATATTTGTATATGTATGTAAATAACGTTAGGTAATTTTGCAGCGTAATGCGATGTATAATGCAATGCAACGCAATAATGTCTTGCTGTCCGTCTCTGTCTGTCTCTGACTGTCTGTCTATGCCTGTCCGTCTTTGTTTGTCTCTGTCTCTGTCTCTATCTCTGTCTCTGTCTCTGTCTCTGTCTCTGTCTCTGTCTCTGTCTCTGTCTCTATCTCTATCTCTATCTCTATCTCTATCTCTATCTGTCTTTTTCTCTTTCTATCCATCTATCGATCTATCTTTTTAT